TAAAAATTCCGACCATAAATAACCCAAAGATATTGGGAGTCATACTTGATAGCCTGCACTTCTCATAAAACCGAAATCGCCGCAAAACTCCAGAGCCGCCAAAAAATACTCAAAGCGCCAAATGGCAGCTCCTGGAGTAAAGATAAAGAAACTTTGGTGGCAAGCTACATAGTCATTGTCCGACATTTCGTAAACTATGCTGAACCGATCTGTGCGCCGAGGTCGAACGAGACGCGGATGAAAAAGTTACAGGCTTACCAAAACACCGTCCTCAAGGACCGCGACAGGAAAAAACTTAATTTTCGCCAGAGCATCGCTTTTACAGCGAAGCAACTATGCTACGAGTTGAGGAGCATAATGCTTTGCTGTGCAAGCAATTTCTATTGGGATGCTACCGTAGAGAACACCCCAATAGGCATCTTATCAAAGCTGAACCAACACCTAGGTACATCAAAAAGGGAGAACTAAACATGAAGGACACCAACCAGCAACATATATAACAACCGCTGGACAGGACTGCGTACAGACAAACACCGTGAATGGTGAGCTCGGAAGCTTGAAGACAGCGAGCTCGAGCTGTCTCGAGAGACCTTCGTGATACTGGCACAACTTAGGTCTGGAACAGTAGTAAGTTAAACTCCTACTCGACACCAACATACCCAACGCATGCGCTACATGTGGAGAGTCTTCGCATGACACTAACAACCTCTTCACATGTCCTCTTAAACCGACACATCTAACCTTTCCCTCTGGTCTGATCCCATTGAAACATCACGTTTCCTGGACCCCACGTTATATTACCTCGGCAACTTAGATTAATTAACCTGTGCCTAATCAGAATAATCGTAGCCGCTACAACAGCAAAAACAACATTGAACCTAAATTAAATTGGTTTTATTTTTTGTTTAAAAAATTAGACTATATCAATCTGCGGGCAAAAACAATTAACACATTATCCTGCGGTTCAATGCAAGTGCAATGGATATTTATATCCATTTATACAAATATACTTGTACATATATTTGTTAGCCGTTAACTGACGTTCCTGGCCAAGTTTATTCTTTGATTTTTGCTCGTCAGCATGAGTAGTCATATTTTTACATATATTGTACATATGTATGTATATTTAGGTAAATATTTGGCAATAATCATCACATAAATCACATTCGCTTGGATTGTGGCACATTTAGAGTATGTTTATTAACGCCATTTGATTGGAGATTGTGAGCCGAGTAAGTAGACAATTATATATTTGCTTACTCATATCTTTATGTATGTACACAAAACAGACGATGAGTATACATATAACACATATCTATATGTAGCTTCTTCATGAGGAAGAATAGGCAAATGCAATTGCCATTAGCGAACAGTGGTAAAAACGGCAAATACAACTAAATATTGAAGTGAGATTTGGTGATGGATGTGTGCGCAAGCCGAGTAGAAACCCCTTCGGCTGTTTGTTATGATTGCAGCTTTTAAACCCGAACCTTCCTTGTGTTTGTTGATGGCAGTTCTTTGATGTCAGGACCTCGGAACGATCGCACTAAACACTTTAGACATGTCGTTCGTTTATCACAACATGGTCGTTCCGATTGAGAGTTTTTCGATCTGAAAATAGCCAAGTGGGGTATTTTCTTGTTCTGCAATCTAATACTAGAAACAACCATTTTCGGGCTTTCGACAGTTGTGCCGAAGTTACGTTTTTTGTCCACCCTGACATAGTGGCGAGGGCAGCACTCATAAGTATGCTCGAGGCGATAAATTGTCCTTTGTCTTCCTTCGGGGAGTTGAGTTGAAAAATTTCGCTTTGATGTGGTCTGTAGCGAGACGTTCGCAAATCGCAGTGAATGCCAGTACTCGGCGCGCGATCTCTCTTTCACCAGGAGTCCGACACCAAACTTGCTCTCCAGTAGTAAATGTCACAAGAACCTACTCGTTTCCGTCCTTTAATTTAATTCTCTGAATGAATAAATAAATAACCACACTATTCCAGTAAATTGTGGAAAGTATATATGAATTTCGATTTGTATTTAAATTTCATCCAGAGTTGCCCAATTTGACCACTGTCTAATACAGCAATTGAAGGGGGTAATTGTAATTATGCATTTACTATGAGCAAAGCTAATATCATAAAGTAAATTTTTATGGGACCTATGCGACAGTTACCATTATTATTGCACATAGTTTATATGAGATTGACATACAAATACATATATAATTTTATTTAGATACATACATATCTGCAACTAGCTAAACTTAAGCACTTCGCGCAATATCAAAAAAAAAAAAATAACTTTAAAATAAACTGAAGAAATTGAAAAGAAAATATTCGCTTCACTGAAATTTGCGATTAAAATAAACTTTTTTATGCTTAAAAAAATATTATTCGAATTATTTTTAAACTTAAAGCGATTTATTGAGGAAAAATTGCTAGGTAGTATGCCGAGTGCACGAGGAGCACATACTCGTTGTATGTAACGAAAAATGTTGAATTGGACCGGTATAATGAACTAGATCGTCTCCTGAGGAATTGAATATCAACCGGAACTGTGAGAGACTAAAACAATTGAAATATTAATATAAGGTCCAAAAAAATATAAACAAAACTTTCATATACTTCTGCTGATACTTGCAGCCTCAACACTATCCAATATTCGCATGTTTTGGCATTTTGCCAGAGAAACCTATTGGAGATTCGTTTACCTTATCCATCAGCTAATAACAAATAGAGTGTCACTGCACGGTCACAATAAATTCTCAGCCAGAGTGTAGCGGCGAAATGGGGAGCATGCAGACAGCAGTCTCCTTATCTTCTCCTAAGGAATTTATATACAACCATTTGTACAAAACATAAAATGTATGTATGTATATGTAGTATGTCTGGCTATACATAAATAATATTCAGTGCAGATATCAAGCCGCAAGGGTAAACATAATTTCGCATAGGCGAAATTTAAGAGAATGTTAAACAAGAGATTTCCAACGTAAAGGTAAGACGAATACAAAACGAAGAAAAACATCTGCGAAAGTTCGTTAACATTTCAACTTTTTTATACTCTGACGGTGATGCACACAAGTTTTGTTCACCTAACTACTGTTACTGCTACAAAACGTTGTGGAGATCATATCGAGACAAACATACATATATTTACATACATATATATATATATATATATAGTAATATATAAAAAGATACATTGTTACAACGATTTTCAGATCAATTGACAATCCAACAATGCACTAACTGCTTTTCTCATAGTCTAGAGACTAGTCAATAACTTTGTGAGTATCTTTGTTCGTTTTGATCGAACAATGCATATGGATGCAGTTACACGACCACTGATATGGTAAGGAACAAGAGTAAATTCCCTGTGCAGCTTTCGTCAAAACAAACAAAATACTTAAAGAAATACATGTATGTATATGTATGTGTATACACACACACATACATATATACATACATACATATGTATAAATACAGCCGTAGCATGCGACCGAAATAGTCTTGTGGATAGCATTGCGTGCTGCCATTCTGATCATCTTTCAAAACAGCTTCAATAACATTTATAAAATATTCATTTTTCTAATTGCGGTTACAAAGCGCGAATTATATGTATATGTATCACATGTACGTAGTATATTGCTAAAACCAGTAAATACTATTGTAGAGGACATGTTAGTGGCATTTGCAATTCTTCCCATTTTATTATTAAACCTTCTCTGCATTTACTAAATCGTTATACATATAAGTAATAAATTTAAAACTAATATATCTCTGAATAATTCCAGCATCACAAATTATTACTGAAAATATCGGCAATAAGCCCTTTGCAGCCCAAAAAAAAAATTAAGAAATTATATTTGCAATAACCTCGTAGTTAGCGTTGCGAATTGGGGCAAAAGTGTTCAAATCACGCCCATTTGATGAAAATAGCTAGCAACATCTTTTTTGTTGCTTTCTACGTTTTAACAAATATTAAGCGTACGGAAAAGTTTAACCACTATCAAATCGAAATGCATATTAAAATTTTTGAATTATTTGTCCACACAAAAATGTATATGTTAAAGGTTAATAGTTAACAGTGTTGTTGATCCAGCGTCAACCTTTCTTCGAATTTTCGATATGTTTAAAAAGTAATCGATATTTTTGGAAATATCACAAATTTTCTTTGGATCAAAACTTTTTTTACTCATCGCAAATCAATGAAATATTTCAGATGCACAAGGTGTTGTGACTTTTTCTAGAGCGAACGATATCAAACCTTATGGCTTTCCAATATATTGAGATATTCCATTTTGAACCTTTCTCGTTAGATAAAAATTTTATAAATTAAACTTGATACTTGAACATGTTTTACTAAGCCTTAAACGAAATGCCATAACGAATTCCTAAATCTTAAATTCGCTGAGTGACTTTTGAACCCATTGCTATATAATAAATATCATTTAAAGAATTCAGAGGAGAATAATTAATTTATAATCTTACCGATATTTTTCAACAACGTCAAAAGACTTATCTATTGAAGTTAAGCATATGTTAAAATAATTAACATAAAATAATATCTCTTGTTTTTGACGAAAAACCAGAAAAAAAAGATTTTTTTGGCCAAACTAAAATTTCACATCTGAAAAATCTGTTTCAGGGGGCTATATGATGGATAAAGTTCTTCAATCTCGACGATTTTCAGTTTCAATATTTTTATGATTTTGAATTTTATGTAGTAAGCCGAATTACAGAATCTTACATTCTTTTGAGTCGAGTTGATGAACCAAAATCAAAATTTTGAAAGATCGTTAGTATATACATATGTTATAGGAATCCGAAACGGCGCACTAAGTTTGGTTGAAATGTCTCAAATACTGAGGGACTAGTTTGCATTGGAACGGATGGATATGGCTTGGATATGGCCAAATCAACTAGTCATTATTCTTCTTAATTTTCGACTTCAGTGTTCAATTCTCGGAACAAATTCTTTTTTCTTCATATTTATGCCTTTATTTCTAATTGTATAAATTGTTATAAAAAATATAAAATATTTGTAAACATTCGCAATATAAGCATGCTCAAATAATTCCAACCTTCGTGTTCTTTTTGCTACTTCTAATGGGAAGAAAGAGATGAAGAAATATTCAAAGTTGAGTTACAAATTTTACTCATTTCAGGAGATATCATTTTATTTGTAATTTTAATACGTACGTTTGTATAAGCTTTAGGAATATGGTGGATATTTCTTTCAACACGTTTATTTTGGTGAATTTCTGTGAAATGTCCTAATGACGGGACCCGAAGAAATGGTCAAACATGACCAAATAAACTAAGCTCGTTATCTCCATATATTGAAATTTCTGCTCCACTCGGTTCTTTTTTTCAGCAGACTAGCGTTAGAATACGATGTTTATGGAAGATAAATACAAAAAATATATAAATTAAAAATATAAAATATAAAAAATATAATATAATATAAATAACATATAATTCAAAAAAGCCTAATATCACGGGTAAGAATTATATATTATATAATTATAATTATATAATTATATAATTCTTGCTCATTTAACGCACTTATTAGGAAACAATATTATCTTAGCCGCATTTATAGAAAACCAAACCTTTTTTTGTACAAAAATTATATACATATATTAAAATGTCTAAAAGGTCGTCTACACAGAGTTATTGAATCTAAAACTAAATTTATGTAAAATGCGTCTACTGTGTACGAAAATAATTTCTGGTAAATTCAAGCGGGTAAAATAACTCGAATGGATCATTGTATCAAGTCTGTTCCTTCTAAATGCCTAACTTTCACTAGGCGTGTGGGAGATCGGTGTTTATACGAATCCGACAAATCACCTAGTTTATTTAAATAAACATTAAATTCAACTTGAATTGACTTTCAAAAATCGCTAAATTTCTTATGGAATATCAATTAACCAACTAATGTTTAAATTTTTGAAATTTATCGAAAAGTAATGGAAGAAAAACAAATCCACTTTATTATATTTAGATCAGTTTTACTTTTGAATTTTCTGAGATAAACAAGTATTACATACGTACATTACTTTCGAAAACTTTATAGACAATCACTTCCCATTTCGTGTCAGAAGTGGTATAGAGTTCAAGCCAATACTGTGCACCTCGATCATTGCTGTTCTCCAACTGCAGGGTATGCAATGCTTTTAAGAGAATATGCCACTCTTTCGATGTTCAAGCTCTATGTTCAAAAGACAAAAAATTGCGAAAGAGTGTATATGCTTGCCCACATTGAAAGTGAGTTATGAAGTGTTAGTGATAATGCAGAAGATATGCAATCAGCTCTTGTTGGCGCGCATTTTCATTTTATTGTAGTAGCCGAGTGACTTTATCAGATGATAGGGACTTATTATGCCGGTCGCAGAGCTAAGATACTGCGCTGAAGAAAATACTAATAAAAAATGAAACAAAAGGTAGCAACATTTCTTCCGTTCTTTGCGTTGTTATTTGGTGATTTGGGAATGTACAAAATCGTAAAATCGTATTGGTTAACGGGAATCGCGAAATAGATGTTCATTTAAAATTTGTTTTATTGTGTTACAATTTCCATTCAACATCTTGTACATGATTAATTATATTAATATGTGTGTATCTGCAACAAAGCGTTAAATTTTAACAAACAAATTGTACAGAAAATTGTGGAATTATGTGTATACTTACTTGAAATACCGTGTTTGCATTACCCAAAAGTGCTTATTAAGTACATACTAGTGTATGTATGTTTGCATGCACAAATACAAAATTAGCATAATCGTGAAAAGCCTATTGTGAAATTTTCTAGACCCAAACTAAAGTGTTTATAGTGATTTATTTGTTATTATGCTTAGTATATTCGCATTCTTTCATATATATTTATATAACTGTATATATGAATGATAATGATTTAAAATAATTCTCAAATAATAGTTAAGTTAAGAAAAAAAAATCGTCTTACACCGTAACAGTTAGTTAATTAGTTTAAAATGCTAGTGAGATCACGTAGTGCTGGCATATATCTAACGGAAAATCAAATGAGAATATTTCACCCATCCGGTTTTGGTTTTTAAGTCTTCTTCTGAGACTTGAGTAGGCTTGAGATCGGCTTCACCCTTGAACTGGGTGCTCATGTGCTTAAGTATTAAAACATATGATATCTGATTGTAATTGTTAAATCATTATGGCTTTCTTACCGACAAATTTCCTATAAAAAATTAATTTGTGAAAATAATTTTTTTAAAATCCCTCTCTAATCGGAAAACTATCGTCATTTCCACTTTTCTGCAACTGTTGGCTTACAGTTTTTTTTTATTAATATACATATACATATGTATGTATATGGCTGACCCACGAAAACAAATCCACAATGACCTCGAAAAATCTTAGAAGTGCCGAATCATAAGAAACTTTTTTATGTTCAAGCCTAGGACAGAATTACACTAGTACCAATCTGCACAGAAGCGGACCAGTTAATCTTGTAAATAGGTACGCAACAGGGATCGCATTAAAAATATTTAGTTTCAAGCATGGTGGCCAGTGAGGATTGATATAGCATTCATTGTGTATATGTAGTTCAACATAAATATGTATGAACATGTATGTATATCTATGTATACACAAAGCTTGCAAACTTGTTGTGGTTCAATTTCCTATTTTGAGATACATTAAAGTTTATCGCATACTTAATACATAAAAACATGTATTAGCTCATTGATTTGTGTAATGGGAAAAATTGCACTTCTGATTGCGAAAGAGAATTGCAAAGAGAGAGTAAGTGTGTGGGAGAGAGAGAGAGAGTGAGTGTAAGAGAGAGAGAGAGAAATGAAGTAGTGGACAGATTTTGAATTTAGAGCAGGCGGAGAAAGAAATGCTTTTCTCAGTACTAACCCACCAAGGCAGACTTTGGAATATAATTGACACTTATTAAAAAATTATTTTAACATTACTTCTTTGCCAATAATGCAGAACAAGCGCATGAACGTATGTCTGTTAACATTCCTATGTCTTTTTAGGAAATGCAATACACATGTTTGCCCACCGCATTCATGTTAAAAATTTCTCAGCATGTTTCTCCTACATATACATATATATTGTATAATATTTGATTAAAATGATCCATTGCGAAAATATCCCAGCAAACAAAAATTGTGTGGAAATGTGTATATATGTACATATGTACATATGTACATATGTATATATTTATTTTTATTAATATATTTACTACAATATTTGATAAACCAAATCAAACGCCTTGGTAACGTTTTTAATTTTCTCAAAAAATGTTGGTGCCAAGGCTTTTATTTTGAAAATATTTAAAAAACATGTTTCTTGGGGTTTTTATTAAACCACAAGGCGGGAGTCTAAATCTGAGAACGATTGGATGAGTGCTTGACCAGCACCAAACTCGCTGCAATATTTCCAATACAACTTCCCCCAGAAAGTACGAAGAAAAAAGGCATCGCTTGTAAGATTTAGAGGTGACTTGAACTGGGTTTGCCACAACCATGCAACGGTAGTATTCTCGTTTTATCTTGGAGCGGGTCTCAGTTAGACTATATTACGTCCATAGAGCTTCCAGACACACTACCGTTAATAGTTCGGAATTCGGCTTTTTTCCTGCTACTAAAAATCCATTAAGGCTCGTTCGCTACCGGAACATATTCGCTTGGGGGAGTAAGATCACTTCATGCATTTGCTTCACTTATCTGTCTGGAACTGGCACACTATTACTTTCTAAGAGGACACCCTCCTTAACCGGTCACCTTGTGTTTTATGAAATTAAGGCCTTTTTGGCCGCAAGACTATCGATGTAAAAGTGTATTCTCTTCCTTTGAAAATCAATATCCAGCAGTAGTTTTGCCGCCATTTGTATAGCAAATATCTCGGCTTGGAAAATATTGGAATGATTTGGCAGCTTGAATGGCTTCATTATCTCTATTTGGACGCAGTAAATTGTAGTCACCTAGCTTTCGATCATGTTAGAATCATCTGTAAAAACAAAAAATCCTTTGTCTACATATAATATTTCTGACCTTTGCTCAAGCCAATTGTCTCTATTTTAACCGAAAAAACTTTTCATAAGTCAAGTGACCATACCAAAGCGGGATGAGATAGATAACTAGAGATAAATAGGGAAGAAAGACGAATTTGCAGACTAATAAATAAAGAGACCGAAATAAGTAGGTATGAAGAACTTGAGAACTTGGCTGAAAATTCTATGAAGAGATGCGGGCACCAACAGAAGTTTTAAAGGCAGAAGCACATTCATGTGGGAACTAACGTAGTAATATGATGGTTTACGGGGCTGTGCTATTCAAACATGGCGGTGAAGAGCTGACTAGGTGCAACAGCTTCTTTGCAGAATATGGTTGTACGAAAGCATGCCCGGCGATTAGAACCCATTGGTGCTCTACCCAGTTAAAAGGGTGAACCCACAGACTGAGCCCATTACCTTGGGATCAGCCCCTTAAATACCGCAGACAAGATTATATCGATCGTACAGTGTGCAAGACTAAAGCCCTCAGTCAACAAACTGATTGGTAATTCTACCATTGACCAGATATTCACCATGTAGCAAATCTTGGGAACGTAATGCATACATACCACATTTTCTTCGATATTAAAGCTGACTTCGACAGCACGCCGTCATGGCTGAATTAGGTATTCCTGCAAAACTTATTCGGTCGTAACAACACCAGAATTGCAGTCAAATTTGGGGAAGGACTTCTTTGAGCTGATCGGGAACAAAGAAGGTTTCTGACAGGGTGGCTTTTTATCGAAGCTGGATAAAATTATAAAAGCCGCAGAGCTAATAGGCAAGGCATCATTTTTTTTTACAGGAGTATACAACTGGTGGCATTTTCCGATGATATTGGTAGGGTAGGGTTTTGAATGCAGAAAAAAACAGGTAAATTTATTTCTGATTATTGTACATTAAAGAGTTGTAATTGAACTATATTCTGTGAAATATTGGTTGGAAAATATTGACAATTGACCGAATGGCAGCAATTCATCGCAGGCGCCTCAGAAAAAATACATTTTGCGGTGCACGTCATACCTCAGCACTGGATCATCTGAAATGAAATAACCAAAGTTTTTCTATCAATTTTTATGTCCCTCTAGGTATCCCTGTCGAGTTTTTCCATTTTTTTTTAATTTTTGAACTTTTTACAAGACTTGAAAGTGAAAAAACCGATTTTTGGTCAAAATTCATCACTATTGTTGTTAATAATAAAAAAATTAAAATAAAAAACGAAAAAATCTCGACAGGGTTACCTCATAAATTATGTAAGGAAATACTGTAAAAAATTTGAGAACGATCGGTTGAATAGATTCTGAGATACAGAGTGCACCGACTCAAAAAACATCGATTTGATGAATTGCTGCCATTCGGTCAATTGTCAATTTGTTTATTTTATTATTGTTTTAAAGCACTCCAGCTTTGAAACCCATTTATAAGGTGTGTTTAAGAGCGTTTTTGGAGCCATCTTCCATACGAAATTTTGTAATGATGTGCCCACAGTTGGATTGATGAGAACATCTGACAGGCAAATCCTCCGAGTGTACTTCTGACATGAAAATCAAAGCTCCACATTAATATCCGTAAGCCGTTCGGAGACATCTTAGTATACACTCTTGTTGTCTCCATCTGTCGGAATTCATCAAAATTTATTGAAATATCGATGATATTTGTAAGGCGGTTTATGAAAAATAAATGTGGCTCAAACCGAACGCTATGCTAACTATAGAGATCATAGACTGGCCTCTACTTTGAAATGAATTTACAAACTTTATGTGTGAATTATAATGTTAAAAACAATGAGTATTTGAGCCAAAAGTCTTACAAATTTGAGAGCCACTGTGTGGTTGTCAGAGCTGCACATTCGTAAATATGTAGATATAAACATAAACGGAAGAAAAGTCCGTATTAATCTTTTTCTAACAGTTTCATTTAAAAGCGGTTTCAAGCTTGTTTCATTAGTTTAATTAAATGCAGCTGTTTATTTATATAATTTTATCTTAACTTCTACTAAAACCCTTACTTTTTACATATTTCGTTTCATTATTTTGATTGGTTGGGTTCGTACCGACGTTCATTAATTTGGGACTTACGGTACCGAAAATGCGCTTTTCGCGGATGAGCGTTACATCATATTAAATAATATGACTAGCAGTCTCACTTTTCATAAAGCATCAAAAATCAGGTTAAAATTTGTGGCATACGTTTGGGTATCTGAGTATCTGTATCGGTTAACAATTTTATTACTACGTACAGAAGAGTTAAATTTTAGTCTTAGACATATATAAATAAAAAACAAAGAGGACGAAGAGAAAGCTAAGAGTAAACCAAATACAGCGTAAACACAAAACAGTTCTAATTGTTTCAACACGCAAACTTCTTCCAGTCTTTTGCGTTTTTACCTTCATCGCATGTCTTTCACATACAAATGATCACTATGTATTGTGTATTCCTCCCCTTTATCCCGTAAGTGAGCAAGCGGGCTTTGCATTTTTTTGTGTTAACACATATTTGCTTAACTGAATCTGAAAGAATAAACAGATCTTACGATTTATGCCCACTAGAAATTATGGCAGAGTAACTTAAAGATTTTTAGATGTTGCTAGAATGGACTATTACCCACCTGGCCGCATTTAGATATACATACGTACATAGATATACATATGTATGCACATTATATAAGTACAATTGAGCTAACTAGAGCTACTAAGTCCGCATGAATGATAATGCTTGGATATTCGTAAGTGAAAAAGTGATTGCGGTGGTCAACATGCACATCAGTCCCCAGATCTTGTCGGTCACATGTTCGCTTCGTATTGCTGAAACTGTTACCTACTACTCATTGAGCGGCCACTCGATCAAAAAAAATGAAAAATTAGACGCCTTAAAATTATATAAAACGATCAACACCTGCCCTAAGCATGTATATGTAGGCTCAACAGGGTATTTAGCATTAGGGTAGTACGTTAGTCTAGCAATTTAAAATCTCGAGCTGACAAAATTTATCCTATTTTCTATTGCTGCTAAGCAGATTTATCTGAAAATGTCAATATGCGTATATTTTAAAGATACATGAGCTAATTGAATATTCACAAAAAAAATCGTAGTTTCAGCGCAGAAAGATATCTTTAAACGAAACATCGCGAAATGCTTTGAGGCCAAAAATATTGTTTTCTGTCGCTCCGGATCTCGACGCAAGAAAAATTATCAAACTACATGGGTGTAACCAGATCGAAAATCTTACGATCAAATCGATTATGTTGTCAAAGACGAACGAGAGAGCAACGTTGCGATCACCATTAACGTAAAGACTTACAGAAGGCGAATTGGGTTTATAGTCTTTTGAATTAGGAAATAGCAAACCGGGTTCACTAAAACGCAACTGTGCTGAAGTCTTAATAGGAATTTTCAGCAAAGTAGTGGAAGACCACGGCTTTCCAGCTTAGCTGTTCAAATTTCGTAGCGAAGAGATAACAATGATTTGAAATGTATGAATTGATTACTTAAGTGCACTCCGTCTAATCTCCGAAAAAGTGGACTTTCTCAATATCCGACATACAGTTTTATCGAGTAAATTATAAGAAATATTGAAGATCACGCCAAATCTTGGAATTCATAAATGAGAACACCCTAGTCGGCGCTTTTAAAACTGCCTTGATAGCACGGAAAAGATTTTTTTTTTTTGATTTTCAGTTAAAGTCACGTATCTCAGCAAAATCATTGTGTAAACTGTCGCTGAATAACTCCAAAAGCTCTCCGAGCCATTCGACAATAATCAAGGTTTCGTGAGGTTACTAGAGAAAATATCTAAGTAAGAACAAGCCTGCAATGAAATTGACGGATTAAATTATTTTGTTCTCCCAAAGAGAGAAATTTACTGAGTTTTCAGTAAAAATAGAGAGCAAGCAGTGTAACAGCTGATTTGGCAGTTACAGATGATTACGTTCATTTATACAGTCATTATTTATTTTATTTCCTTCTTTTAAGTATTTTTATAAGTGTTTTAATATTAATAGTTTGTATTAATGCTTCATAGCCGTCAAACCATAGATACTAGCAAATGTGTAGATTCTAAAATTGCTCTAAAAAGACGTAGATTAATTTAAATTTGCTTTGCAACAATTCGGGAAATGAGTTGGAAATCTTTTGTCCAATGTCGGCCTGTGGATGGCGGCGATGACTCCACTCTACTGCCACCACAATTTCTTACCCTTACTATGTGATTGCATCGTTCGTATCATTCAGTTAAATTTAATAAAATTTAATTTGGTTATTTATTTTCATTTGTTTTCTTGCTTGCTGAAATTTTCACAGCACGAGTTGTGAATTCCCTCCAAAACAAATGCCAAAAGTGTACTTTATCGTTGCAAGTTTTACTGTCTTTTTGCCTCACCGAACGGGGTTTTGTAAAAGTTAGCAACAATTCTTACTGTCCATCAACTCACGGAACAAGGCTGTTATTGGTTTCAACAATCACGGCGATAGATCTGCGATCTCCAGACTAAATAAGGAAGCGAAGCGAATGGGTCTAGTAATGAGCGAGGACAAGATTAAATGTCGTCTGTAATCAAATGAACACTCACATCACTGTTGATAGTCATAACTTTGCAGTCGTAGATAATTTTGTCTCTCACTTTTGCCATTTAGCAGGGAATACAGTGCTGATATTTCACTCACTTTTTACTGTCTGTATCTATATCAAATATTTTATGTTGCTCAATGCCACCGTTAACTGGGCAAACCGAATACACGTTGTATATGCAGTACAGTATTTTAGTACCCCTTCTCCCCAAGATCCTCAGCACTCAGGCCGCAGCAAAAAGTAAGGAAACTGATGTAAAATAGTTTTCTTTTGCAACTGATCTATGAACAGGAATTTCTCAAATTGTAGCGTGCCAAAAACGTAAATAACAGCAATAGTTACCATTGCAACCTACGCGCTGTGTTCACGGCAGCACTCTGAGGTGGTAAGTCACGCTCTTATACTTTCATAACAAATCGTTGTGATCTTCATACAACCAGTTGAATACATTCACCCATAAGTTGCGCATTATGGTTACTTGGTGTATTCTCCACGTAAATTCTTCTCGGATTAGGAGAGCACCTCGTCTGTTGCGCTCAGTTATTAACCGCGGACTGTAGTCTACCTGACGATAAAGTAATAAATATGTCGCGTTTTCGGATGTTCAACCCCTTTTTGAAGTATTATGAAGAGCGTTGACAAGAGCGTCAATTTCAAGATAAGAAGAAACAATACAAAATAAAGCTTTTGTCGGATAGTGTTGGTTAAATCGAACCGCTTCGAACCAAATGGTTCGCGTACAACAGCAGCACAAAATGCATAACATTTCAATAACAGCTGCTAGTTAACAGTTCTTTTACAATTTTACAGAAATATGTCTAGTACGTCTGCTATGGCATCATGCACTCGATACATTGCAATGCTTATATTCTATCGAGGAAACTCACGACAAACATTGGAACAAACTAATACACAGTGACAATCATAGATGTGTTCACATACATTGGCTGCAGCGATTTTAGATTGCAAACTGGCCGATGACTATGATTTCTCGTCGCTGTGGAGGTGCACTCACTATTTCGCCTTTTGTTGTTGCTTCCGATGTGTTCGAGTATATAGTACATTGAGTAAATGCCTGTGGTGGTGGCTGCGCAAGAATGTTTGTTGCAATGCGCCGGCATGCAGCTACGGGAGCAATGACGCCGACAGAACAGAGCCAACAGTCGCTAGGGCACTAATACTTACATATGTATTTGTTTGTATATATATGTACATACGTATCAGCGTTTGCATTATAAAAAGAACAGAAACAGATACTGCAAAACTTACAGAAACAGTTGCAACGATAGTACTGAAAAGTTTGCATTTAATTGGGTTCTGTTGGGTTACTGTACAGTGTACTCCCTCCGCCAGTTTGTCTGTCGTATACGAGTTTTGAGTAGTGACATTGTCATTGACTGCAAACAATTCGCCAAAACGAACCGACTGCACTACGGTCATCGGCCACACAACAAGCTCCAAACAACTCTTTACCTTCGACGACACCAACAGTGGCTCCACACTCACCACCACTAGTACCATCACCATAGTCTCTACATTCACACATCGTTACCACTATTGCTAGAGCACTCGGGAACAACTCAATTCACAGTGGCTAGCATCACAGCGCCTTGAGTCGAAAACTTGGTCACTGCACGCCACATTCGCAGTTTTGTGCTGTTCCGCTGCGGCCGGTCATTTCGCATTCACATCCGCTTTACACGTTGATCTAATTTTTACTGGGCAAGTTCAAGTTGAACCCATAGTCAAAATCGAATACGAGTACGTACGTAATTGATGTTGATGTTGATGTTGATGTTGATGTCGATGTCGATGTCCATGTTGCTACTTGTTCTGCGCGCAATGTAGTTCGTGTTGCCTGGCTTTGTTACTTCTGCGCTTTGGACAACTTGTAGCGTGGTGCATTGGCAATTATATGTGCCAAACACTCGAGATTGTAATTTTGCATGCGCTTCTGTTCGAATGTAGTGCTCTGTGCGATCGGAAGTTATCAAAAGAAATTTCTAATGTGCGACATTATTGAGGTTTTGCCGTCGGCATTGTGAAACAAATACTTTGACTCTACATACATGACAATTAAATCAATATTACGATCGTTTATTAACTTACAAGTGAATTATGTAATCATAGATATGCCGACATTCCCATAATAAAAACATATCGCTTTGAATCGCGAAGTGTCGTAGTATAAAATTTAACGAAACTAAAAATATTTAACCGAAATAAATACTTAATAGTAACATCACCATTCAGTCAATTTGTGTGTGGTGCTCGAAAAGTATAAAAACATACCGAAATATATACAATTAATAAATAAATGCGGTACTAATGAGTATAGAACAAAGAAAGTAAGTTACATTTCACAAAGAGTTAATAAAGATTTTAGAAGAAAAATCTTTTCGGATGTATTTTTTTATTGAAAAAGATTTTAATTAACTTGAAATGAAATTTGTGCTACAATAAATAAAAAAAACTACACATCAATGTTTTAAATAATTGTATGTTATTAACTTTGGAAAGTATTTGAATATTGATTTTTCGAAATTGGAAAGCGAATAATTTTAACTAAATTCAATTGGAATTTTCGCCATTTGTGGAAGTAAATTTGCGGATAAAATTTTCTTTTTAAACTCTCTGAGAGTTAATTACTGTGATTGCATTATACTTACATATATGTGAGTGAAGAAATTAGCTATAATAGAAAAGAGGTGTTAAAATCGAGGTTTGTTGTTAGAAACATTTTACATATAGAATACTTTTTTCGGAAAGTGCATATGCGACCGATCTGTTCGAACAAATTGTTCCATTTGCTTACCAAGGCGGCATCACACTAAAAGGATTTACGTATTGTATACCTTATTGCCGAGTGTGTGTATTAACTTTGATATGATATGATCAGAATGCCGTGCTGAGTTAACCCGCATGTCCGCCTGCCTATTTATCCGTCCGTCCAACAGTTCGACTCAAACTAGGCTCACTGTTTTGTAGTCGTTTGAACAAAACTTACAATAGTATGCGGGTGCATTTATGCAATGCACTACTACGTTCGTATAACATGCACCCAACCAAATTGTTACTATATGTGTTTTTGAGTTATAAGTACTTCAATAAGAATATTTTCGTTAAGAAAGCATCTAACAGCGTGCAATGCTGTATTCTACACAACTAAATGCAAATAAATATTTAGACAAAAAATAATCGCAATCAAAAGGCTATATCATATATGAGAATTAATCTTGATATGAAAATCAATCATGCCGAAATGATCGAAGAAAGCTTCTTTTTAAAGTTGTTTGCCCCTGGCGGCCGCAGTAGCCGAGTGGTTAGCATTGCGTACTACCAGGGAACGTCAACTTCCAGTGAATTTCTGTCATGAAATAAAAGCTTCTCCTAAAAAATCAACAGCATTTCGAAGGCGGCTTTGTATAAACAACAAAAATAGATGATGAGCGGTGTTAATTTTTTAGCCGTTCATCAGCTTGTTTGAACTAAAAATAGTATTGCATAGTATGGAAATTAAGCAAATGCATAACTATATATAATATCAAATTAATCTCCGCTAAGACTTCCGTACAATTGAGAGCGGCTTTTACTTTGTTTTTAATCCTTTAGTCAGTGATGTCGATTAAAAACACGATTTCACAACACAACCACGTCGCCACGTATGATAACAAAAAATGTGAAAATCATATTGTATTGATATATTATTATTGTTCTGAGTCCTAGAACTTGTTTTCTCTACTCATTTTTAAGTTTTTAAGGATTAAGATAATTATGATTGCTTATTTATAATGAAAAGCCACAATTCGTTCGTTGTCTGTGTCATATCATTTCTCTTAATCCGACATTTATGTGATGTTTTGATGCAGTGCTACGTAGCGAAAAAAAGCATAAAAACAAATTGTTAGAATTCTATTTTTGCAGAAGCGAGAATGTGAGTATCAATATGTCATTCATATTAATCATGATGCTGCTGTTGATAAACAGGTTTTTTTACCGATAACATCAACTACCTATTTAAATAGAGTACTAACTACCCGACTGATTTTCAGTCTATATTTCTTGTTACACAATGTAGGTTGGCAAGGAGATACAAAATGAAGGTTGTTTCGGCAATTTAAGAAACGTGCTAAGCAGGTGACGCCCTTTGAAAATTAATGGGATGTGATCCCAGATAATAATAAACTCGTATATATTCTTGTTATCTTTGACTGATTTGATGTGTTACTATCCGAATGATTAAAAAATGTTAATTAGTTTTATTTTTTTTTTTCTTATATAGTCATTTCCCTTTATTCTTTTAGCTACATATGTATGTATATTAATTATTACATTAAGTGGGTTGTTCCAAAATTAACATACGATTTTAATTAAATAGAAAACATATTATTCAGATTGTGATTTATCAAAGAATTATAAATTACATAAGAATCATTAAATACATACCGATCTTGCGTTTATTTAGGTTCACGCTTAACGAGTAAGAATTTACAACTACCTTCGCCTTCGCTGCAGTTGGTAGAGATTTATATCCTGTGTATAGTATGCTCTTTGCTGTGTTCCTGCAAATGGTTTTAAATCAAAACCCTATTACAGGGTTTTCCAATAAGATATGTTATTTTGATATTCAAAGAAATATTGCCCTTAAAAAATCGATGGTTTCGTTGCTGTGTGGCACGTAGCGCCGTCTTGTTGAAAGTAAACGTGGTCCAATTGTCAATATTATCCAATTCTAGCCAAAATAAATAATTAATCAGCTCTCGATAGCAAAGCCCTAGTTACGACAGTTTTGCTTATTGACGTAGCCATCGAAATGGTAATGGGCCTCAACAGTCCAGATGATTTTTGGATAAAATTTTTATCATGGATTTTAATAATTTCAATGTGTTATTGAAGCTTATATCCTTCCATTTTAATTACTGGCGTAGTTTTTACTTGTCAAAAGTCAAAAATTATAACTTCAAATAGATGGCTATACAAAAGACCACCTCTTATTGGAAAGCCCTTCATATACAATATATATATATATATATATAATTAGCGCCTTGTAACCGCTGAAGCGATTTTTTCAGCCGAGCTTCTCCTCCAATTTGTGGTTTTGTGTCCGCCTCCGAAGGGCTGAAGGTTTTTTTTGAGATTCTTTATATCAAGTCCGAAATCCACTCGGAGGGGTGGATATTTCCCGCCTAGGGCGATTGCAATCAGAAAATTTAACTTAATTTTTATTTAAATTAATTTTCTATAACTTTTGAATGTTGGTCGTACCGAGATTTGAGTACGCGCCTTCCGAATGTCAGCACGCAATGCTAATCACTCGGTCAATTTGTTCTATATTATTGTTCTTTACTTCAAACCAAAGGGCAATCCGGTGTGTTTTGATGGTAGAAAATGTGACCTTCTTACCAAAGTAGAGACCACAATAAACGAATAATATTTCAGAGTTTCCTACACATTCCAATTATTATAATAAATGTAATTTAAATAATGTAGAGGATATTAATCAACTTAAAATTTTCATTGTCTTCTCTATTTACAGATTTGAATGAGAAATTATTGAACGAATAATTCAAGGATAACAAACCATTTCGATGGTAATTCAAAAAAAAAAAACAACATTTTTAGTGAATGAAATATGTAAATGCAGTAATTATAAATAATAAGATTTACATGTGTTTAAACTGTACTGTTGTGTGCAAACTTGATCGTTTTAAATAATTATAAAACGATAAATATGCGAGCAGAATAAATTTGAGTGAATAAATTTTACTGGTGTAAAGTGCAGGTTTATAAAATACGATTACACCTTAACTATATTGGGATTGATTGATTTTGTATAAAATTATCTATTTTGTAAATGCGTTAAAAGATATATGATGGTTCTGAAGAAAATTAAAAGAAATACTTTACATAATTTTATAATTTTATATCGGCATCTATTGCTTATATAGTGATTTTTTTTTTTCATTGTATTGTGAGAGCATACTAATTTCGGAAATTAAATTTCATCCTGTTAGTCCCACACTGTATCTTTAAAGTGCTACGAAATAGATTTGAGTATAGTCAGATAAGATTTTTGATAAACTAATGGAAAATGAATAATTTATGTGAAAATTATGAATTATTTTTTTTTTACATATTTTTCATATTAAATAGTCTTGGACTTATAAAATACATATATTGAAACATTACTGAGAGAAGCTAAAATACAACATTTTTTAAGTTTTAAGAATTATTACTCAACATATGTTTGCAAGGCAATATGTATTTTCCAATCATTAAGAAGGATGTGTTATAAAGTTGATTTGCGATACTAAAAATGTCCTTTAAATGGCTGTATTTTCTATTAGAAAAATAATATTTTTTTACAATAACTTTCTTCTTCTCATTTTCACATTACTATCACGCCCTAACGCAAACAGAAATAAAGTGGAAATAGAAATTGCATTGTGGGATCAGAGAGAAATTTAATCTCGAGAAATGTCCGATCAATTTATCAATTCAATTTATATTGAATATTCTTTTTGCTTTTGTGTCACTGCTCTTGAAATTAGTAATTTAAACATACAACTTGAACTCAAATAATTACCGCGTCTGACGGCACCTTAAAAAGTGCAAGGTGTTCTCATATGCACTTGAGTGCATTTTCGATTACTTAGTAGGGATAAAGAGGAATTAAAAAATGTAGGGAACGTTTTTAAAATGATAATAATTGAGAGTTTTATATATATAAATATATATATATATGTATATATATACACAATATTATACATTATGAATCGACTCATTAATCCAATTAATCTTACAAACTCTCTATAGTACGCAGCGAAAGTATAAGCATGAGATGAGCGCTTATTGGCACTACAATGCGGTCTTGAAAGTCAAGAAATGTAGGGAATTACAGAAAGTTCCATCAGGTTATGTGCTCATCATAAATGTTTACACTTGATTCATTCATAAGTGAGGGATCACAAAATTCATAATTAGTACTAAAATGCATAATTGTTTATTGCACACTTAAGAGCCATCATATGTCTATGAACATATACAAGTATATACGTGTATTAGAAGGCGTATTTTATAGAATGCCTCCCGAATTAGGACTCAAGTAATCAAATAAATTTAAAAAAAAAATGTTCAATATTACAAAAACTGCGTAGATCACTCTGAAAACTGTGATTTTTTCAGTTTTCCTCAAGAGGGTAATATTTATATGGAATGCAGTACACAGTTTTTTATTTCAGTACCAGTAACTAAAAATAATGTGATACGAAACTCTTCCAAGTTGAATATAAATGTGCACGTCGATTATTGTTTTTTTTTTTTTCTTTATTTGTATAACAATAAATTTTTTTCAAATTAAGATTTAAAATTTACCGTAAATTGCTGTAAATGTGGCAAAATATTTATTTGCACAAGGAAACTTTTTCATCGAACTCTTGGCCACTTTTATAAAATGATATGAAAATGAAGGTTTTAGAGCGCCCGCAGCTGAGACATTGGCACACAAAACATAATGAAGATCGAAAAAATATTTTACAGGATATGTAACATTTTTTAAATTTTTTTAAGTGCTTTTGGAATACAGACTATTACAAAAAATAAAGTAAATTTTTTCTTTTGTCCAAATGTCGTGAAAAAAATTACATATGAGCACCATTGGAAGGTTTGGTATCTTGAAACTGTGCTCGCCACTCGCCTTTGACATTTGCTTTTCTATTGCCCAATATTGCAAATACATATAGTGAACTCTAATATGGAAAGTTATTAAAATCCAAGGTTTCTAGAGTAGCACACTCCGTTTCCTAATATTGAAGATTTCTTTTTATTTTATTCGATATATCTTGTTCAATTCGTTGGGTTTTTTTTTAAGAAAATCATCCATCTAATATACTTAAGTTTATATGCATACTAAATTCCGAAATAAATTAGTTGTGATTTGCAGATAGAAATATTTACGTATACACATAAGTCCAATGTACATTTGCACATAAAAACCAGTTTGGTTAATATTAATAATAAAAGTAATTAAGAATTGTGACGAAAGGCAGCCATTGGAAGCTTTATTGTAATTGCTTTTAACAACTTCACTTTGAAAGCAATAAAACATTGTCATTCTTGATATATTGAACTAAAGTGTCCATCACCATTTCACTGTACGTTCCACCGCCAACTTCGCAACTGCACGCTTTTAACGCTCGCACAGCGAATAGGCATCGTAGCTGTTCTTTAATGGTTTCTGAGGATAATTGGAATAGTGACACAATGTCCGATTCGGACATACACGATTCAAAGGCCGACGCATGTGGGGGTGCATCTAGTAGCAGCGGCAGTTCTATCTCACCTCGCACACCTCCGAATTGCGCTAGGTGCCGTAATCATGGACTCAAGATCACACTAAAAGGACACAAACGCTATTGCAAATTCCGTTATTGTACATGCGAAAAATGTCGCTTAACAGCCGATCGTCAACGCGTAATGGCACTTCAGACCGCATTGAGGCGTGCGCAGGCTCAAGATGAGCAACGGGTTTTGCAGATACACGAAGTGCCACCAGGTGTTCACGCACCAGCGGCATTACTTAATCACCATCATTTACATCATCACCATCATTTAAATCCAAATCATCATGCGACTGCAGCCGCTGCAGCAGCTGCTGCTGCTGCTCATCATCACATAACGACAGCAATACGATCGCCACCACATGCCGAACTTGGTAGCGGGGGTGGTGGTTTAGCCGGTGGTATTGGTTCTGCCATCACATCTGTACCTGTGTCAGCTCCACCACCCGAACATCACATGACCACAGTGCCCACACCGGCTCAATCGCTAGAGGGCTCAAGTGACACATCTTCGCCATCACCATCCTCCACTTCGGGTGCCGCATTGCCCATTTCGGTAGTTGGTCGCAAGCCGTCTCTACATCCAAATGGTGTCCATATGCCACTAGGTAAGTGCCTTTTCAACACTAAAAAAAAAAATATAATCAATTTCTTAATGTAAATTAACAATAATTTCAACTCCTTGACCAATGGAAGAATTGAATAATTCTGAAAAATCTTCAGAGTTGCATAAATAATACTTCAATGTTAATTTCGGCGAAATTTCAATAGAAGCCGATTTTAGGAGTAGATTAAACGATTATGTCTTATGAGCTGATACAAAGTTTCCAAAGTTTACTGAGTTCAAAGTTACACATGAAGGCTGAGTTTCCCTAACTTTCGAACTAACACTAATTAACGAGCCATAAGTTTGGGGTTTTCTATTTAAAAATATTTTTTTATCACTCGAATACTAGTATCTGTTGTTCAAGCTCTCATACTTCAACCAAACTCCAGAAGCAGCTCTTGATGACTAAGTGATTGAATCGTTCGAATCAAATAAGTGTTAAGTGCAACCGTTAATCTAAGCACACCACAATTTTATTTTACTATATGTGAGGATCCAGCTTTTTGTAGCAAATATCTCAAAAATCGAAGGTTTACATTTTAATTCTTATTTTTGAATCAAATCGATGTCATACATATATTCTCAATTATCATAATCTGCTCTACCAGCCTCATAGAATAACATATGATAAAGGACAATTTTACCATTAAAAAACAAATATTTATATTATTTTTATCTGTTTCGTCAAAAGGTACACTAGTGTTAAAAAAATCTGATCATGTCAATAATCATTATCATAATGAATTCGGTAAAATACAGAAATATCAACAGCAGTTTTCATGTTCATATTGATTTAATTATGTCTTAAGTTGTATCATGTCTCCACGTACAGTGGTGTCTATAAAATATGCAAGTAATAAAAATTTGAAAGGTTATAAAAAAGTATTAAATTTTTTCTTGATTTCAAATGCAACCTAATAAAAGTTTTTGTATCAATTAAAAATGGGCAAAATATTTCATAATAATATAATTGTTTAAGTAAAAGTTTTACATCTAGTTGGAAACTGCGTTTTTGATTTCAGGATAGGTTTTCAAACCTCGATTTAGCAACGGTGTAGTCGCGCTTTTTTACTGACTGCTGTAACTAATAAGTGTTTCAATAAAGTGGGCTCTTTTCCTATATGTGTATATATATGTCAGAAAGGGAACAAGTCTAGAATGTACGTTTAAACAACACATATAAAATCAAATACATCTTTTCATGTATAACAAATGATTTACTAGATTTCCACACAAATTAAACCTGTGTAATTTTGGCAAGCACTCATGAATTATATACCCGTACAGTCTTTGCTTATGATATGCATCTTCGCTACAAATACATTTTTTTATCGACAAATCGCTGTAATTAATACCTTTAGTTAGTACCTAAGTAAGATGTACACTTTGTGGCTTGAATTTTTAATGTAGCGGTTCAAGAAAACAAATTTGACTTGTTGAAAAAACTTATAAGAATTAAATATTTATTTCAATTGTACAAGACTTTAATAAACATCATTTGGGCTGTGTTCGTGGAGAAATGTCGGTAAAAATTAGCCAGTAACGATGCCTTACTCTCCCAAGGAAAGAAATTTACTAAGTTTTCACCGAACAGGATTCACTAAAAATTAGCCTGCATTTTGGCATTTAAATTTGAATTTGTTAATTTATATTTCTGCTTTTAAGTACTTTCCTAAATATTTGAATAAAATTGGCAACTTAATGGCGTTTTTAATTCATTAATTGTATTCAAGATTTATTGCATTTCAGACACTATGAAACTATACATGCCTTATATCCGCCAAACAATAAAGACACCAATATAACTTTCCACTAGTGCTTTAAAATGTAGAAGGTTTATTTGAATCTTATTTTGAAACAATTTGTCGCTTAGATTTTAGATTTTCAGGCAAGGCATTTCAATCATGAAATACGAAAATGAGTTTGAAATTATTTTTTCCGTGTGAGCCGGTTATATTAACTGAACATTATTATAATTTAGTTTTCCAACTAAACAATATTTCATTTTGTGCATCGTCATCACACCCGGAGGCTTAAGAACGCATTTCCGTTGTTGTGGCCGTAGAAACAACCTTGCTTTGAATTTGTTCTGCAGCTTCTTTGGTCGCCACTGCTTTCTTGTAAATTTAAGAAATCCAAAATAAATTTACGTTGAACTAGAAATAATAATGTATTATAATTCTTTAGCTTCAAAAGCTCCCAAGTCTTTAACGTGTGCTGGGTGGTATGCGAGCGACCACTGCCAACACATTCCTTAATTATTTAACTGAATCGTTGAAATCATTAAAATTTATTTAATTTTATTTGAACAGAGAATTAAAGTTATCTTCATTTCTTCGATTGTCCAGTAGCCTGCATCATTAATCTTCTGAGCTTCGAAAAAAACACGAAAAGGTTTGAGTAGCTAGAAAGGTGTGAGGAATCTTCTTCGTAGAACCAAAATAGGTATCATTAAGTGATCAGGATTACGTGATCGCCCAAGCTGTTTAACTAACTAAGCGTAATTATAAGATTATTAGCACTGTTCTCAAAAATCGACAATTATGAAGACAATATTCTGTTCGCTTACAAAATTTCCTTAAAAAAATATTTAAAACTGTGACCCTAATTTGCAAAAGCAGCCAGCTGCGGATTTTCTTGATTTCGATTTAAATTTTGGTGGGCGAATCTCTTCACTCTCTGTTACTTTCCTACAATTTCCTACTGATGTTGTATTACAAATTATTCTTCTGGATTAAAACGTCGAGGACTGAACATCACTTGTAGTTTATCTCTAAATAAATATTGAATTATCTCTACAATCCCGTCCGAATCTGTACTCGAATCGGCGGTCGCGTTAGCCGGGATTTCCGAACAGCCCGCATATCTCCACACGAGCTTCTGTTGATGGATGTATAATATATTTATTTAATTGTTTTATTGTACAATAAATACTGCGATTGATCTTCAAAAGAAGTAAGAACTGATATTTTAATATTTGGAAATTTTTTGAGAGTTAATTGAAATGTTCTTGGCTACAACAGTGGCGGTTGGTCAGCTACTATGTTATAAAGACAGCGGCAGCGGCAGCAAACCCCATTTTTTTCATTTTTTGCCAAATACAAATATTTTAGTTATATACAATTTATATTATTTATGAATAAATAGTTTCATGCTTCAATACGAAAGGAAATTAGTTTATTGATGCATGATGCCATGTAAGCCTACAAGATCCTATGTTTTCAATCGATCCTATATTCGTTCAAAAACAATAAAATTTAATGATGCTTTGAAAATTATACTTTATTTCATGCAATTTGGCAACGTTGTATTCACTCATTGCTACATCGATGGCCGTGTGGCAGTGTGTTCACCTTTTCATCCGTAACGATCATTCTGTTTTCAACTTAACAAGGTATTAAGTTTTTAAAGGAAAAAACAACAAGAATATACACTTGCCGTGGCTAGTACGCCAGAGCCTAAAACTCCGAATGCCTTTTGGGATGCCGCTATTGTTATTGTTATTCAGCAGGGGGGGAATGATGTGCAAACAGTAGATGTGTTGTAGAGGATAACTGTGTTATTGATATCAATAATTTAATAATTAGTGGCTGAGTGTTTATTTGATGACGGGAGATAATATCGTTGACATATGGCATCAGTTCTACATAATGCCGGGTTGAAATGATGTGTAGTCCTGTTTCCAGATTAGCAGATACACAGCTTTACCGCATTGGTTGATGGATTTTTATGTTCATGAGGGTGGAAATGAGAAAAGTTAACTTAATTTCTTCATTTGATTGGATGTTGGCCCTGCACTCGAACCCATGTTCAATATTGAGAGTAGTAAAAAGTTCGTTCGGTTTTTATCTAAAGATGGCTTGATTGTCCATAGTAATAGCGTTACTTTATGCATTACGTCATACTATACACCGCTGAAAACCTATTTATTCGCGCTAAAAGTCTGTCAGTCTGACAGTTTTTCTATTCAAAAATGGACACCAGCAAAGAGAAAATTCGCTAAATTTTACAAATTTTCTTCGATCATGTCGAAAAAGCAGCCAAAGCGGCTGAAAAAATTTATTTAGTTTATGGGCCCGATACTGTAAACGAACGTGTAGCACAAAAGTGGCTTGGAAGGTTCCATTCCGGTAATTTCGATGTCAAAGACGCACCACGCGTCGGGAGGCATGTCGTCGAAAATTGCGATAAAATCATGGAAATAGTGGAAACAGACCGTCACGTGAGCACATATTTATTTGCTGAAGAACCAAAGATAAGCCAGAAAACCGTTTGAAACCATTTGCATAACTTTGGATTCAAAAAGAAGCTCGATGTTTGGTGCCACACGAAGTAATGCAAAAAAATATGATGGACCGAATTTCCATCTGCGAATCGCTGCTGAATCGTAACAATATCGACTCGGTTTTGAAGCAGATTGTGATTGGCGATGAAAAATGGGTTACCTCCCACAGCATCGAGCACAAACGGTCGTGGTCAAAGCTCGGGGAAGCGGCCCAGACGTTGGCCAAGATCGGACGACCAGGAAGGTTTTGATTTGTGTTTAGTGGGATTGGCAAGGAATCATCTACTACGAGCTGCTCCCCTATGGCCATACCTTCGATTCGGCTCTCTACCAACAACAAATGGACCGTTTGAAGGCAGCACTCATCCAGAAGAGGCCATCTTTCATCAACAAAGGCCGAACTGTGTTCCATAATGTCAACGTCTGGCCACACACGTCTTTGGTGACACGCCAGAAACTCCAGGCGCCCGGATGGGCGGTTTCTATAACATCTACTTTATGGTTCGGACCTGGCACCAAGTGAATGCCATCTTTTCCTGTCCATGGCGAACGCGCTTATTTTTGAGAAGTTGGTCTCAAGAGAGACCTGTGAAAATTGGCTCTCCGAGCTTTTTGCCTATAGGGACGCAGCCTTCTACGAGACTCATATTTGACTTAAATCGGACAAATGAACACAAAGTTATCATATTTTGAAAAATCAATAAAAAACCGAACGA